TTCATTCTAAGTCCTGTTATTATTATTATTTGTATTAGGGGAGTGTTTACAGATTTACCAGTGTTTCTTTGGACTATAAGCATGGCAAAAAACCCCCAACATTATGTTTTTCCTGGAAAGCTTTTAGATCAATAAAACCCTAAATGTTACATGTAGTGAACAGAAGTAAGGACTTGACAAAGCAAAGAGAAAACTGGGACTTATTTTGCATCATAGAAAACACAGATCAGGCCAAGGGACTGAACAGAGAATTAAATCAACACGAGGCAGATTTTGAAAAGAGCCCTGAGGGAAAGGGCAATAATTATTATATAGAAAGCACAGAAAACAAAGAGCTAGCAAAAGGCTTTAAAGGACAGAGGAGAAAGTATCTGGATGAGCCTGCTGCTTCTCCATCTCTGTGAGGGGCAGTATAATCCTAGCTTTGAAAATATACATCACTAACCCCAAACCACCCCAAACTAAATATAGTACCAAAATAGAAAAAAAAATTATGAGCTCAAAACAGACATAGCAGCCCTGAGACTACTGAATTTGCTGTAGCAATTACCTATCCACAATATTACATAGTCTCCAACCAAATACTATTAGAGTGGTTCTCAGAGCAATTCAAAGACACTGCTGCACTTCATCAAATCATTTTTGGACATCCCACGAGCTTTCAAGAGAACCATCATTCTCATGAGTATGATTTGTTCATGTTTCACTATAATCTGGTTTTCAAAAATTCGTTTCTTCCATGTTTTTTTTCCTATTTGAATTTTTAGATTGGTTTAGAGATAAGAAAAATCTTTGCATTTTTCAAACACCAGCTTTTTTTGTTCTTTTAAGAGAGCAAAAGGAGGTTTCCAATGCTCTATTAAACAAGTACTCACGCCTGCTGGTCTGCAGGGAAAGCAGGCTGAGGCATCAAAAGTATTGCAGTTAGGGAATTTAGTCCTTCCAATGCAATCAGTCTGCAATGTGATCTGATTAGATTCAAAGACTCAAACCTGAAGTCCAGGACTTCGGGTCAAGACATAAATAAACAAAGAGGATGAAAGAGCAGTCTGCAGGGCTTAAATGAACCTTAGGCTCCACAGTTCAGGTTAAGATTTCTAAGGAATGCAAGCCAGGTGGATTGATTTAACACAGCATTAAAAAACATCTGGAAGAGAAAAACATGTACATCAAAAAATAATCATGAGAAAATCTTCTCCGTGTAAAATAATTAGCGGAATGTGTGACATATAAAATAATTTTCTGCACATATACCCACACTGCCACCATCAGCCTCGCTTTCTCATTTATTCAGGTGAACCTGTACCTGGCAAACAGGCACTTATTCATGGATAACAGAGGAGGTGCTGAGCTGCTGGAGACTTCAACACTGCTGCAAAATAGAGTATGTGTTCATATGTGTTTTTGCAATGGACACTCGCTGTGCAATATTATCTTGTCTCTACAGACAAATTAGTTGCCTCATGCTCCTGCCAGCTTGATTTGTTTGGCCTTTACAGAGTACAGGATACATGGAGGTTCTTGTGATTGAATCTCACGTAAAAGGTAAACCTGAGAGTTTATTCTACACTATGCTATACATCCACCAAGGCAGCTGGAGCATTTGCTGACTTGATGTTGAAAAGAAGGCTATAAAATATAGCAGGGAAATCTTGAAACGTCGCTCACTTGACATAGCAATAAGAGCCCTGCATTAAGATGCAGAGCTGATTTCCCTGATCCATGAAATTGCCTGGATATTTAAGGCATTCTCAAACAGAACCAGCATGAAACTCACCCTCCATTTCTGGCACAAGGACACTGCAGGTTTTGTGTTCTCCAATAAAAACAGAGCTCAAAATTGCAGAGATTAATATTCTTTAAGAGAGGACCTAAATACAATTTCCTTCCTTTCTCAAGAAGCATTCAATGTTTTGAATACTAAAAGATGGGTTTGCTTGCTGACACACTGCTCAGGTGCCACAGATGCTTGGGTTCTTTGTTGTGAGTGGTACAAGAACCTCTTACAATAAAACACAGTGTGCAAGTCTGTGACCATCTCTGGAGAGGGACATTTTTTCTTCTCCTAAATAGGTGGCAGGACTGGAATAGGTACAATATGTGGAGAGCTATGAAAAAATACTATGAAGCAAGATATTGCATTATATTATGGTCTGAGACCTGGGACATGGTTCAGAATTCCTTACCAAGTGTATATTTCCAGCTGCTAAAGGGTAAGAAAAGACCCACCTATACTTGCAAAGTATTGATGAGCTGAGGGTCAGCTAGAATTACTTCCAAGGACCCATCCAATGCAAACACACAGACTACAATTATGGGGGAATTTGGAAGGACCATAAACTTTCCAATAAACATTGTCCTGCAGGCTCTGCTACCTTAGATTCAAAGGAGGAACAGAGTACAGCTAGAATGAAACTACAATTGGATTATGAACAGCTTCCCATTAGTTAGCTAGGAAGGTTTTAGCACAAAATGCACCAATGAAGTATCCTGACACTGCAGTACATGTCACATCACGAGCCAGCACAAGGAAAATGTAACACTGGCAGACAATCTTATCATTGATTTCTATCCAGATCACACTGAAAGGGTAATCTCCTTTCAACCTGTTGCATACATTGCACACACAATTTTCAGCATCTCCATTGCAAAGAAAGACCTGAGACTCATACTCAGGTTCAAGATTTTTCCTGGACATGGGTTACCGTTCGTTCCTGTGGACAAACAAAGTGAATTACCTAAATTTTCAGACAAAATTTCTCAGTTTTCGCCTTCAGTTAGGCTGATAACCCTTCCCATTTTGTAGCGAAGCTTTGCACTGAGCAATTTAACAGCCAGTACTCTCCTGCTTCCTGTAATTCTGTTCCTACTTAGCACATACAGTGGCCTACATCTATACAGGTATACAGAATTATACAAAATACAAATGAAAAGGACTCTTGAAGCCATCTGGTATGTGACCCCATTCAAAGCAAATTCAGCTACACCTAATTAGCTCCTGAGATACGCTTGCCTACCCTACTTAAACAGATTCCACAAACTCCCATGGATATTTATTGTGATGTTTTGCTAGTCTTACTATTAGAATGTTTTTCTAATGTTTAGTCTGTTCCAGAAATTTTAATTAAAAGCTCCCTCAGAGGAAGACTGGATTACAGTGCATTCTGATATATGAAAAACGAACATCCAAAGAAATCCACTGACAGAAACACACGACACGTTGAATTTAAGGTTCATAAATTATTTGTGGGTCACATAGGTGTTTTTTCAAACTTTCTGATTCAGAGCAGTTCGAATGAAACCAGTCATTTATGTATCCACCACACTGTTCACTTAAAAGAAGATCTTGATCATAGTAATTTCTTCCCTGATTGAAGTTTTGAAAGCTCTAAGTTGTCTGAAGAAAATAGTTGTTGGCATTTTTGGATGATAAACATCCAAAAGTGAAGATGATAAATTACAGTGTTACCCAATGGTGTGGAAAAGTAGAGAAATGCAAACTGATAACCCCTGATTTATGAATACACACTCATTATTACAAAGTCTGGGGGTTCACAGTTTAAGATCAGTGCTTTCATCTCAGTGCTTATTAAAAGTGTGAGAAGGAAGCATGAAGGGTGGCTGCCATTTTGTAACAGATTAACACTTAATGCTCCTTGTTTCCAGTAGGAATACAAAACAACACAGGACTTCCTGCCTTTTTAAGGTCTACATAAGCTTTTGTTACTGCCCACAATCACAGAGGATGGGAATTTTTACATCTGGCTTTGCTCATTCATATTAGAAATTTTTCTCACATATTAATATAATCATTCCTATAAACCTTCTCCTTACAAAGAAAAAACATTTGTCCAAGATATTAAAAGAAATCTTGTCATCTGCTTCTTAAAACATGTTGTTGATAGTGACAGAATTTACTTTGAAAGTATTTAAACTTATTATTTCATTTATCAACAGACATTCCCAGTGAAACCCACTCCATGCACTCCACGTCATGAGCCAAGTAATCTTTTTTGTCACAGAACTGAAGTAAATTATATTACATTCCTTCATCACTTCCCAAAGCCTGGGGATTTTCTAAATTTTTCCTTCTCTCTCCCTGTTACCTCTCTGTTAAATATTCAAAGCAGGTAATAAAAAGCAGTAGGAAAAATAAGGTCAATACAGCAAATTGGAAAAAAGTAAAATGTTGCTATACACCATTGTTTGGTTGTTACAGTTCTCTTAATCAACCCAAACAGCTTCTCGGAGACGACTAATTTGATTTTATGAACCCGTAGCCATATTTGACTTTCCTTTGATTCCAAATGTGAAAAATAGCCTTTATCTAATGTTCAGGCACATCATCTAACTACACATGCATTTGCATTACGAGGCAGTGAGACATGGCTGGAGAGCCATCTTGGATGTTATCTGTGTTATTACTCAAGTGGAGACTATAATCATAAATCCTCCTCTTCCCCTCCAACCCCCGCCTTTTTTTTAGAAGTACACTTAAAATCTGGTTTTAAGCTTCACTGGCTCCATTACATTTGAACTTCAGTAAGAAGAATGTGGTATGAATGTGTTGAGAGAAAGCATAGACAAAAGGTATATTTTCATAATGTGGTTCAGTTTAACTGTTCCTGTAATTAGCTACAACTCATTAGGCAATAAACAGAAAAACAAAGAGATTATGAATGGAAGGGCAATATTTTCTCCATAAAACAAACAAAAAAACTAAAACAGATGCCTGGTTCATGAGGCTTTCCTTGCATAAATACACAGAGCAGCTTAGAAAAGATATTTTCTTGATTAAGTATTTTTGTCTAGGAAGAAAACCTGTAAACATTATCTTGAGCAATTTCCGTGAAAAGTATTTATTGCTATTGTACACTTGAGATTTTTTGATCTCAAGGATAAAATAACAATACAGCAATGGTCTGCAGATGACCAGCTTTGATCTTTAATTAGTTTTTATAATTGTTTCTTAATTTGTATTCTGCATAATAAGCACTCACCTTCACCGTTTGTCCGGCTTCGGGGCCATCCTGTAAGCAAAGGAAGAAGTCTCAGGTTAGAGGATCCAACAAGGATCACACAGGAATTCAGAAATCTTACTCAATAATCATTTACATCCAATTACACTGTATATTAATTTAGCATATTTTTCCTGAGGACCATTCAACACAAAGTCTTTGGACAAGGCTCCTTTTCATATCAGGCCATGACAAAGGGAGCAATTCTGTCTTAGATAACAGAAACAGCAGTTTTTCATTCTTTTAGATCATATTTTTCAATAGCTAGCAAGAGATTTCTGATCCTTGTGAACATAAAACACACATGAAAGCGAGAATTTAATCCCAGTATGCTTGCTTAAATTTTGATTCTAATGAATGGGCTTAGTCTTCTGGTTTGCTTTAAACAGAACTCATTTTTGGTATAAAAACACCCAGCACAAATAACTGAAAGGTCAGAAACATATTTACATGGCTACATCACTCTTCCTGTATATAAATATCTGTGAGAAGGAATCACTATTTCCATCATAAGCACCGGGTTACATGCAGAACGAGGAGATGTGGCTGCCTTCTCTAGGTCAATCCTGAAAATGCTCCTTTGAAGGAAGAGTGTTTGCTGAAATATTCACAAACAAGCACTGTGTTTGGGAGTGTTTGCAGGCTTATTCCAAAGTTTTGCACTTATTAATTAACCCCACTTTCCCAGTGGTTTGCCTTTTAGATTTTTTTCAATCACAAATCTGGAAGACTGCAATGCAGTTATTTGGCTTCTTTTTTTTTTTTATTACTATGATCTTGCATTTATTGCCCCTTGAAGTTTCAATGTCCTTTTCTCATTGGACAAGGGAAGAAGGTTGAAAGCTTGATAAAACAAACCATTAAACCTTTTTTTTTAGTTGACTGGCTCACAAACCTGGACTGAGAAGGTGAGCGAGGTGCCGCAGAAGTGTTTCTCCACCACATTCCCGACCCTTTGCGCCGTACGAAATAAATCAGCCACTTCCTCGGGACACAGGTCACGGAAACGCTCCACCGGCCGCAGGGGACAAACGAGGACATCTGAAGGTGGCAGTGTCAAGGCACAAACACAAATCTGAGCGGTCCATAAGGAGGAGTGTCTTAACCCCCAGCCTGTAACCTGGTTCTGATCACCTCCAAAGTGACTAAACTCTTCCTCTCTGATGATACAGCAAGAGCATCTAAAACATAGAGCTAAATACAGAGAATCTTATGATGCTTTGTTCAGATCTTGTTTCCTCAAATCCCTCAGATATGGCCCAAATGACTAAACTAAGGTCCATATGCTACTACTGAGACATCTAAAGGAAAGCAGTTTTCACACACTCAAATTTACCGTTTCAGTGGAGAAATGCTCTTGTTAACAGGTCTGAAAGTCAGAGACATTTTCTTTTGTGATTAAAAATAGCAGAAAAGCAAAAGAATTTAAGACAGGTTTGGGAGTGTGGTCCAAGACAGCAGTTTTACAATGCTTTTCCACATATGTGATATGTATTTTTTAAAATCTTGATCTTACAACTCTAATTTTTGGTACCTAAATGTGAAAAGCTGACAGTGTGCTAATTATAGTAGATTGCTTCTTTGTACATGACATTAATTATGATTCACAAGGAATGCTCAACTGTTATAAATATTATTTTTTTTTTAAATAAGATAATTAAGACTATTTCCTTTTAAGCACAGTGTTCACAACCTTGTAAACATACTGTGATTTAATTCTACCTTGGTGACTGTGCTTCGTGAGTCAGTGAAATGAAGTTATAAAGTAAATAATCGAAGTACACAGATGCTGTTCACAGTCATCGGATCTGCTGTGTTCACAGTAATTAATAATTGCTATGATTCCTTGCTTGAAAGTCAATTTTGTAACATTATTAATATGGTCCAGAATTCTTAGCAGAGTCTCAGTTGTGTAAGTCCAACAAGCAAGAACTTGGGACTTGATTCTCATTTCAATTCCCTGCAGACAGGATTCTTTGCTGACTTACAGAATAGTATTTGCAGAATAAAGACCTTAAGATAACCTTTAACATCACTTGAACTTCCATGACCAAAGGCTATGAAAATTATTTTTTTCAGTATTAAAATGAGTGTTCAAAGGACTATTTGAAGAAAATTAAGTTCCGTGTCATTGTATTACAGCCATCTTTATTTTTACTGCACCTTGAAGCCTGCAGGTATTCAGGAATATTCTCTATAACCCGGGAAAGATAACTAGGAGCTGCTCTGCAGTTAACAGGTTCACACAAAGGTTACATCAACCTGATTTTCAAGAACCACATGAGACATTTGAAACAAGGAAAGATTAATACATGTGAAAGATTAATTATTTCCATAAGCACAGAGACAACATTTGCATTCACCAAGTTTACTGTAGGAATCACTTATATTTCTGATGGGGAGAAAACCAGACATTTTTTGAAGTAAAGAAGTAGTGGCAGGTTTTGATCATTTTTCAGAGTCCAGATGAGGACAGACAAGTCTGTAATGGATATTTGTGAAAGTGGGAGCAGAATTTTCAAGCGAGCTCTACCTCTAGCAGCTCCCAGCAGAACAGGAGAAGACTGGTCCCAGCTGTGGGTGTTAATCTGCTCTGAAAATCTGTTTCTCAGTTTTTCTAGTGCAGCATCAGCTATGCCACCGCTGTTCTCCTTTTCTCTTTTTCCAATTAACCATATTAACATTTAATAAAGGAGATGTATATATTTAGAAAGCAGGTACACGGAAGCAAAACAATCCTGGAAGGGGACAAAAAGCGTGGTTTTGTGGGGTTTTGGTTCTGAGATGCTGTGCCTCTTGGTAAGCTACTGGGCACAGTAAACCCCTTGTAATTCATTTGTGCCTTCCCAGCCCACTGTATAAAGCACCTCCATAAAGGATGCCATTGGCTGAGCTCGGGGCTCAAGGGAAGAGCTGGAAAGTTGCTTGGCAGACCTGATTTCCATACCAGGCATAAAGGAATAGGAAAACTAATTAATTTTACTCATAAAAAGGAAATCCATGTCAACACTAAAACAGGAAAAAGGACATTCGTTTAATCTGAGTTCATTTTTCAAAGGAAAGAAGGGAAGCTTGTACCCTTAGGGCATCTGATACTTAAGTAGATAATTATCCTTCTTCTGCAGCACTGCTTTATTATCATGGCTCAATGAACCATTTATAAATGAAGAATTTCCCCTCACTTACCTCTAGCAAAACTGCTGCTTACATTAAGACAAGTTTTCTTTTCCTCCTTTAGAATTTTCCCGAGAAGTTTCTCACCCTCTCAGACTCGTACACACCTCAGCAGCAATTGTTTGTTCTCTACCTAGCTCAGGGCCACAAACATAATTTTTGCATTAATCATGGTTTCTTCAACCTGATATTAGCCCTGTACTACTTGCCACTGCAGAGGGTTGTGAAAAACACGAGCTAAACACTCCTTGTGAGAGCTTTTGTTTCCATAGCACATTGCAGAGGGAGAGGGCTGGTTGTGACCAACACAGGACATCTGTTTTCTTTTCTTAATTTTGCCACTAATCTGCACTGTCACTTCAGCAAGTTGCCTCTGTATCTCTCCCTCTCCTCTTCCACACTTTATCTGTCTCATCTGCTTAGACAGCATTTGCCAGTTGGTGCAGTGGATGTTTCCTTATTAAGCGGGAGCCTCTCTGCTCACATGGGGCCTCAAAGCTCTCCTGCAGCACCTAATGATGCACCCATAAAACATGTCGCTCTGCAAAAAGGATTTGCACTTCCTCCTTACATTACCAAAACTCATTTACAACGCAAACTAGGTTTTAACTATATTTCTGTCTTGGAACGTGATAAATAATTCAAAGGCACAATCACACACTAGAGCATCTTTACTGAACTTTCCATCATTTCAAAATAATTCTACAAAGAATAATGATCGAAATTCTGAATCAGAGCTAAATTAACATGAGAATGTAATTAGGACAACATTCAAGCTATATTTAACTATGAATATATTAAAAGGCAAATGTTAGAATGAATTCATGGATTTGAGGTCATTAAGAAAACAACCATCCCCTGCAACTTCAAATCATAGTTTTTAACTACAATTTTTGACACTAGGATAGTTTTTAACTTTATATCCTGGTCAGATTTTAAGCTGTATAACTGCTCTATTCACCTCAAAATTCTTCCTAAGTTTAAAATTACATAAATTGTTCATTGCTTTCTGCAATTACCCACTGCAAGAACACTACTAGGAACTCCTGATGCCTGTGTATCAAAGCCGCAAGTGAAAGCGAGTTTGTACTTATGTCTGTGTGCAATTACTCCTTAGACAGAAGCATCTACTGCCATCTGAGATGCCTCAGGGCATCCAGCTGCCACTCCAGAAGGGCAGGAGTCTCCCATATGCCCTATGTCATAACTGTCATTCAGGTGGGAAACCTGAATCTTCTTGGGGGATCTGAAACTGCAGTAGGTGCCTATGTTTGGACAACAGCCCCCACTTTAACAGAGTGGCTCAGCAGGACAAGGGGCTGATACCCAGCAGATGAGCTGCATGATTGAAGACAGCATTCTGCCTTCAGAAAGTTAGAGCTTAATGTTTCCTTTCTCTAAACACTATAATTAATAATTTCGTGATTTCTTCATTCATTCTGAACCGCTACTGACTGATGAAGTTTCTATTTTTAAGCTTTGATTTGCACAGCTGTTATTTCCTTCAAATTCTCTGAGTCAGTCCACATCATTAGAGTATATGCAATTTAATATGTCAACTTCTCCATTTTAAGGAGTGAAAAACCTTTACACCTTATTCTAATCCGTACCAATACATTTCTTTCTCTAAAACTTGCAGAAGTCTCTCAATAGCTTTACTTTTCTTCTTAATACCCAAATATGCACACACAAATCAATATGCAAACCCTCACACAGACTAAAAGCTCCATTAAAGATTCATTAAACAACTAGGAATGTCAGTATTTTTCAAAGACTACCAGTAGATAGTAGCTTAAAACTCCAGGTATTTTAGTGGAAGTGCATAACCATAAAGTAGCTGCAAAGCAAGACTGGATCAGACCCACTGCCCTCAGACTGAGCTAAAACCTAAGGATGACCAATGTTTTCAACCAAATCTCTTGTCCTTATACATTGGGCACAGCAGATCACTCCCTGCACAACCTTGGGCAGGTGTTTGATGCACCAAAGACCACGAATCTCCTCCATAATTCAAATGAACAGCCTGTTGGTCTGTTAAGATTGTGACTTGTTTGGAAAAGCTCAGACTGGTGGCCAAGCACACATGGTTCAACAGTTTCTGAACACCAGCAGCACAAGGATGCTTGAACACGTGTGCCAGCTCTCAGCTCTCAGCCCTCAACAGCCGAGTCTGCACATATTTCTGTCAACCCCTCTTGCTCTTCCACTGACCTTTCAGACTGTAATAACCGGGGCCCTCTGAGACTGGCACTGAGAGATGTTACTGCAATGTGGTTCTGCAGTGGGCACCTGGACACCGTCAAAGCCACGCTCAGCAGTGCCAAGCACAAGTACAAATTCCCCATGGACATGTAAGTACTGCAGGATGTGCTCACACTGGAGGTGATGGGTCACGACTGGAAAGTGAGCATTTGGTAACTGCACCGTGACTTTGACTTGATCAGACAGGGAGGACTCAGTTTCTACAAGAAAAGCAAAACACGTGGCATAATAAACCTGCATAATGACCACTTGAAATGAAATTTTCCTTCCACTAATACACATAGAGGGGAGCCTGAAATTCAAAGGCACAGCTGTAATTTTTATTTGCTTTATATGAATTTTGACTTTGAAGCTTAAATTATTGTAATTCTGTACTTAAGGTCTAAGCCAGGCTCTATGTTCCCTTCAATGGGATTCTGATCAACCTCACAAAGTGCCCATTATAAATTTTCACACACAACTATCAAGGTACACACATTCTGTAGTTCTAAAATGTTAGAAAAATGGCCTTTGGGGGATCAAAAAAAAAAAAAAAGAAACCCCAAAGAGGTTAAAATTCCTTTTATGTGACAAGCTTTAGAACTAAACACAGCTTTTTCCTGGTT